GTGTAGACGGTGATGCTTTACTCCACAGCTAATTAGCCTGCTCCACAGTAAAGCACATGTAGATGCGACCTCTGAGACTCCATTTAACTCAACAATTGCAGCTTAATTAAAAATTCTAGTGACTGCACGTGAATATGAATAGAAGACAGCTCATCTAATCCTAGTTGTGTTGATTCTGAAGTACTGACAGAAACATGAAGTAAGAAAAGCCTTTAGCTCAAATTAAACTTTCCATGAGCTTTTCATATGCACAGGGAACAGATAACGTCTGTGAAATGAGAATCAAGTTAGGAAGCAGAACTGCTTTTAAGAAACTGCCATGTTATAGTAACCTTTCACATGGGAATCACACAATGAATAAAGGCTGTTTCAACAATACAGTCAAAATATATTGTTAACTTTTTTTTCCCCTGCAAACTGGCTGTATAGATGCTGGGTGACACAAAGACAAAGCACAATTTAAAACCTTCACTGAGGGTTTAAATAGTACAGAACGCTTTGCAGTATTATCTGTGTCTCAAGTATTATATCACAGAAGTAATATCACAGATATAGTAGTGACATGTTACTTTTCTAACTGGAAAGGCTAATTTGTCTTTCTTTGTTAGCCAGCAAATTTACTATAAAAAAAACAAAAAAGGCCGACTTTGCTAAAACGCTTATAGTTAAATAACAGAACAATTTAAGATTTTAATTTTCTACACAGACCCCACGTGTGGTAATTTTCTGGGAAACAACTACTCTGAAACAGCCTGTCTCTAAAAACTGAAGCTATCACCTATAATTTTTCATTCAAATAACAAGAGAGAGCTTGGATGTGAACATATTCCAAGTTCTCTCATGTTTGCTTTCCAAGAGAATTCACATTTAACCTTTATCAGCACAAATGCTCATGAAAGATAATTTTAGATAATTACCAAATTCATTTTATGTTCAGCTGTAAAATTATTACTTCACAATTTGTGTTGTTTTCATATGCAAGTGACAAAAAGGATTCTCTTCTTTGACTTAATTGACAAACAGAGTGAGTTTGGATTAAAATTAAATACATGATTCCCAATTCACAATGTTCTGATTGTATTGATGTATTGTATTGATTGTATTATACTGATTGTATTGATCAAATGTATTGATTCAGGTTACTATGTAATTACAGATCCAACTGTGAAGTTCAAAATTTGCAAAGCGAACAATGCTCATGGTAAGAACTCTTCCTTGAATAATACTACTGCTTACTAGTACATAACATTTCCCTTCAGTATCTCCAATCTCTTCCCAGAGGTGGTCAATAATATCACTACTTTCAGCCCCCCATTTTAGAGATGGGAAACTGAGGCATTAAGCAATTAAATAAAACACTCAAAGTCACCCACTAGGCCAGTGGCTTACTTCACTGAAGAGATTCATATATATTTGTTTTAAAAGTATGTAAAAGAAGTCTACAACCTGTTCACAGACCATCAGAAAGGCAAGGAAAAGTTAGTCAAACTCTTTGTTACAGGGGTACAGGTTGTAGCCGTGTTGGTCTAAGGACATACACAGACAAGGTTCTTTGTGTAAATTTGATATCTCTTATTAGACCAACTCAAATAGCTGGAAAAAAATTTCCAGCAATTTGAGTTGGTCTAATAAAGATATCAATTTGTCCAAAAAACCTTGTCAAACTCTTTGTTGTATTCTCACGTTTTACCCCTAGATCAGGAGATTTTTCTAAAAAAAATTCACATGTAGCATTTTTTTTTCTTATTTTTCAAAGAATGCGCCTCGTTCTGTGTTCTCAATCCTATTATATCCAATTGTGCAATTAATACTCTTTTTATATATTTACTGGAAAAAACAAATTTGATTTTTTGGGTTGCCTACTAATTGACCATGGTCCATTCAGTCTCAAATGGCCCAGTTATCATCCCGTGCCTCACAGAAGAAAAGCTTCATACATTTTTGTCCTTCATTCCTCATTTTTTATAAAATTACAGTGATTGATTTTAAATATAGAAAAGTATAAGGAATTTTTAAGTGTATAGGCACACATTCACATGGATGTATAACAGAAGTTGCATCGTGCTTTCCTAAATGATACAAAATGACTCTAGAAACTGCTAATAACAAAAGACAGCCCTAAGGATTTTTTAACCATCCATTAGGCCTCACAGCAGTTGTTGCCATAATGCAAATCAGCAGGGTGTAAAGAATAGATCTTGTGAAAAAATAACTTATTTGTAATATCCAGCTCCATTGGTTGACTAATTATTTTGTGCAAGCTCTGTCATTTATTAAAAATGACAAATAGATGAAAACTTCAAAGTCTTGTGCATAACATTATTTTAAGAATTCCTTAGTTCTTAAATCATTCTAACTGCTGATACTGCAAAGGGTCACAAGACACAAAAGAAGAACACCTAATTGTACAGAACTGGGGGAACTTAAAAAAAAAGAAAAAAAAAATCAAATGGGTGGTATTTCATCAGAAATATCACGTGCAGGGGAGAATTTCAAAGCCAGAAATAGCAGTTAAATTCTTAACTCCCACTGAAAGTCCAAAGGCATTAAGCCCGAACAGATTTGTGCCTTTGAAAGCCTCACTCTACTTCCATATTTCAAAAATTCAAAGCATATAGTGTTTGAGTCTCATCTTCACTCTAACAATGTACAGGGATCATAATGCCAGCGCAAGTGTAACATTCATCATTCTGTGTAAAATGAATTGAGCTAATGGTATATACAAAAAGTCAAATGCATTTTGTTGGGAGTTTTTGTTAGTTTGTGTTTAAATACAGGGGTGTCAAAGATAGAGCCCATGAGCTGGATTCAGCCCCTGGAAGCCTATGATCTGGCTTGGGGGTCTTAGACCAGCCCCATATGCTGCATGCAGCACATGCTGTTCCTGGATCAATGCACTCCATGTGGAAATGGGGCCGGTATGGAATCCACTGCCTGCACTCAACCAGCCCTGCGTGCTGGCTCCAGGGCCAGATCAGTCTTACTTATCCTCCTTTCACACCACAGCCAGAGTGCAGGGCTGGTCAGGTGCAAGCACAGCATACAGTGCACACCACATGCCAACCCCATGGGCCATTCAAGCCCCAGACCTGCGTCAGCACATGCTGTATGTGATGCATTTGGCTGGACCAGGTATGTGTACTGCATGCAACAGAGGGGGCAATTCAGGGCATGCGGCACCCTGCTAGACCAGCCCTGTGCATTTTAATACATTGCTGCACATGTGCATATTCCACCACACTTCTTTACGTGGGCACTGCTACATAATTTAAGCATGAAGTAAACAAAGAAAATAAAAGGGGCTTTACTGTAGCATAGTTCCACTTAACATAATTTATTACTGATTCAAGAGACAATATTTTCTGTTACAGGTGTAGGTGGTTTAATTTCTGTTCATAATGGACAGGTCGATTTTACATCATAAAGGCACAATTGCTATTAGCAAGCACTCTTGCAGGCACTGTCAGTAGTGATGACAAGGACAGAATGGGCATGGGGACCTCACTGTCACCCCTCACCCACCAGAGGTGGTTTCGTCACTACAAGCCTGAAGCACTTCAGCAAAGCATTGTTCTGTAACTGAGCATTATTAATAAAGGGCTTCAAGTCTTCAAAGCTTTCAGGCTGTCAGTTTTCTCAATTCACTCTAACCATTAAAAAAAGAAAAAGTGAAAAGATGAAAGCTGCACAGTTCGGTTCCTGTGAATTGAAATGAATAATCAGGGTAAATTAGCAAACCTGGGCTGGATATAGAAATTCATGGGACAGGTCCTACAGCTTGCATTGTGCAGGAAGTCAGAGATGGGGAATCAAAGTGTGGTCTTTTTGATTTACAAGTCTATTCAAACATCTGCACTAGGAGTGTGGAAATACAATGAACAACCAGGTTTTAGAGGGATTATCAAGGAAGAAAAGACTAAAGGTCATATTCTCTTTGTCCCTAGCATGTGTGAAAAATGTATTAATATTAATGGTGGACTGTGTGCAACACATTATAAGAACAAACATTAATGACTGCATGCAATAAGTACCTTATATATAATTATATCAAAAACTTTCCACCACGTCTTACAGTATTCACCTCAAAAAAGCTATTTCAAACATGATCGGAGGTCCTGTTTCTAAAACAATCAATTATGAAAAAATTCTGTTGAATAGGTATCACAAATACATCCCACCCTTTCCAGGGTCATCATGCACCTTGTGTTAGTCATTTATTCATCTTTCTTTAATGCATCTTTAAACCAGTTATGAATTTACACCAAACATGATCTTTCATAAGTATGATGTCTTCAGAGTTGAACTATGGAAAAGAATTATAAACTGGTGTTTACAGTCATAGCATCAACGACTTCCTGCCCTTTGGGCAGGGGGCTGGACTCGATGATCTTCCGAGGTCCCTTCCAGCCTAATGTCTATGAAATCTATGAAATCTTTCAGCCTGAGGCACCTGAATCAACACAGACTAGATCATTTATAGCAAGTCAGGATCTTTCCCACCAAGTTAATATTATGAAGCAGCAAATGACAGTGAGCAGCAAAGGACTATGTGGGAACCAGTGAATCCCTTAAGTTGATCCTTTTCAAACTAGTTAATGTTTTTGAGGGATTTTCTGATTTAAAAACAAAAAAGATGTGGAATTTGGTAAGAAAACATTGTTGTGGGGTGTTATCTGTTCTCCACTGAAACAGTTTCCACCTTAGCTCTTTTAAAAAGCATGTATGCATGTGCACACAAACACATTTTGGGTGGGGAGAACAGGTATGTGACTCCTAACTTCTTATCCACAATACCGACGGGGAAAATCCGATGAACTAAGTCTTTGATTAAAAGTCCATTAGGATTAACGGAAAACATTTATCTTGACTCCAGCAGTCTTCACCTAAGGCTTTAAATAATTTCTATTTAGTGCACTTACCAGCATGGTCTTTTATGTGAGCTCTACAGTACCCAAAAGCCTCAAGGAAAAAAGTTAATTTGCATTTTATTAGACACCTACCTCAAACCACTGCCCATGTGACTGCATTTTAAGGATAACGCAGGGATCTGGCTTGGAAAGGGCATCTCTGTCTGATATACTTTTGCATGCAACACGCAGCTCCACTTTGGTCAGGCATGGGCTGTTAAAGATTCCCAGGGTATTGGCCGCTGATTCATAGATGTTGCTCATTTTCTTCATTCTACTTTCTGTGAAGAGAGAAAAGAGACAATCAAAAAACAAATTTACACACAGTGCAATCCTATTTATGAAGAAAGCAGTCCAACTCTGTGCTATGTAAGAAAGGGCTTCCAATACCGTAGATGAGATTCATAGCATCAGAAAATTTTGTTAAACCTGGAAGAGGTCAGATAAAGAATCCATAAACCCAATAAGACTTTCACATGTATGAATGAATGGGTCTAATGTAGAAGCAGTCATCCTCATCCCAGAACTTTGCAACATTTCAGATCTGAATCTTCATTTCATAGACTAGGACGACATCTATTTCCAAATGCATTTCTACCTTTTACAGCTACAAGTGATATTTCTTAAGACTGAAGGGCTCAGTAGATGTAATTCTGCATGGGCATGTCTACACGAGGTGCTACTGTGCAGTAGTTAGTGCATATTTATTTAGTACTTATACAACATCACAGTTGCACAGGCAAACACCTTTTTAGTGACACTACTGCGCAGTAGCCTAATAATATTGTTCAGTAGCATATTAGCACCGTTTGTGCGGTGACATGCTACTGCAAAGCATTATTTGGCTACTACACAGTTAGTGTCTTGTGTAGATGCACCCAGCATCTCTATATTTCAAGCCAATATCAAAATCTTAATAAAATGAGTTTGGCGATCCTCTGATCTGTCCTTGTTTAATGGTATTCCATCTCACAAAAGCACATAATCCATTCCAGTTCTTCCATGTAAGCATGAGAGAAGAAAGCCCTTCTCAGTGGCCGTGTCTACACAAGACGCTAACTGCACAGCCGTTACTATCCAGTAGTGCCAATGAAGAGCTTTTCTGTGATGCTGACTGCACAGTAGCATCACATCATGGTTTCTGTCATGTGACACTACTGTGCAGTCACTGTCTCATGTAAACGCATCAGTATGGAGCAATAGTAAACATAAAACCTGAACTACACTGCACTCTCTTTTCTACGCTCCTTGGTACATAAATATAATGCTGGCCTGTAAAAATTATGTTGTTATGATATAGGTAGTAGAGCAATAATCCTTATGTTGATAAATCCTGTTATGTATTATATACTCTTTGAAGTCAGGAACCATGATTGTTTATGCACTGGTACAATGCTTGAAATACTGGGGCCCTGAACTTGATAGCAACTGTTGGCTGTTATCTCATTTTAGGGAATAAATAACCACCAGCATCATCCATATTGCAGCTGAAGCCTTTGTTGTTAGCAGTATAACAATGAAGCAAGCTTTTTAATACAGTGCTTATCAAAATCGCTGTGTGATTACTGCTACGCCAAAAAGGCATATTGGACCATTTTAATTGTTCAGTCATGGCTGAGCTTCGCAGGTTAATTTCCACACTAAATCAAACTCCTCAAATACATGGTTTGCTACCTTTTCCCCAGATAAAAGTTGTAAACAAGTAATTTCACACTCTGTTAGAGAGCAGGATTAACATTACCAGATTATCAATGTGTTTCTGTGCCCTGTATAAATCCTTCTCATGGTCTTTCATGCAACACCCCATTTTTCCGAGGTTAATGTCTTCAGAGAATTGTTTTTGATAAAAGCCAACATTTGGCAATTTTAGCAGGAAATTAAAATTATCCCCCTTTTGCTTAGAGTAGTTTAAAAAAAACACCTGAGAACATCCACGGCATCCATTAATTTAAAAGACAAAATTAGTTCAGTCGCTTCCTAAATTCAAAATAAGGAATAAAAATAAGATATAACTTTGCTAGAATTAAAACTAACTTTAGGAATGTGAATCCAAATGATGCAAGAGAATGATTTTTCTCATTACTGTAATGGGAAATGTGTGCATTGGTTGTCTACAATCGTTCCTTAAAAGAGTATTTTCTGTATTTGTCCTTGTTTTACCCTGGCCCAGTGACCCACTGATGATCTCCACCCTATTGTGAGTGGCTCCTATCCCCTGGGTTCAATGTGGTTCTAAGCTAATGAAGGCACTAGCTCCTTGCCACTCTAACCCCCAAATTAGAGCCCCTCCTACTCCAAGCAACTTTCAACCAGGGGTGGGGAAAAGGCAGCCCATGGGCCGCATGCGGCCCACCAGGCCACTCTATCCTGCCCGCGGGGCCCTTAAAAAGTTTAGAAAATTAATATTTAGCAGCCCCTGGCTTCCTGTCATGCGGCCCTTGATGGCTTGCCAAAACTCAGTCAGCGGCCCTCCGCCCAAAATAACTGCCCGCCCCTGCTTTAAACGCTCTCACATAGCCTGGGATTTACCACTCTGGGAGAAATGTGAAAGGACAGCAAGCCACATAGGCATAGAAAAGGACCCTCTTGACCTCAGATACATTACTCTCAAAAAGTAACACCTCTTTGAAAAATGGCTAAAGTTCTGAGACGCACTCTCCCCTAATTAGATCTCTCTACTTCCATGAGTCCAAGATCCACCAGTGTTTCAGACTAGAAAGAGTCTATCCTGCCCACTCACTCCTGAAGGTCCTGCTTACATGATCACTCTTTCTAGAAGGGTTGCTACCCTGAACAATCTGTTGCCTTTCCCCATATGCTCAAACAGAAAGCTCTAGTTCTCTCCTTCTAGCTTTGCCACATCAGTACAAAACACATCCTATGGAGAAGGGCCAGTGGTTCAAAGTCATTCAACACTGATAGCTCCAGATTTTTGCCTTGATGGCTTCTACATTATATTAAAACTATACCAGTTCCAAAGAAATATTTTGACTTGTAAATATCCATTGAACTAATTGGGAGTGTAGGCCTGAAGAGGAGTTAAGCATTTTAATACCTTTTTGGAGTCCTGCCCAAAGCACTGTCTGGACAAAATAGCAGTTTAGAACAGAGTTCAATAAACTGCCTTGGCAAGTTCAGGTATGTGTTTGGTACATAACCCTAACATTGGACTCCTACTCCAAACTGATGTTCACATTGATAGAGATGCATCTCAGTGTCAGGGTCACACTTAAGAGGAAAAAATAAAGAAATGAATCTGTGACATTACACAGGGCTATTAATTAAAATATTTATTCAGAAAAGCATTTAAACATGTGCTTTAATCTACCTCCAAATACAGAACAGAATGTCTGGATCCAGATGTGCAAGCATGTGCAGTTTGTGGTACCACAAACCTCTTTGCTATTGCACTTGTTACACGTTAAACCATGCCTGGCACTGCTAATTTGCAGCTCTGTGGACAAAAAAGAAAAGCCATAAACATGTAGCAGCCTCTAAAAAATGGACCCACCTGAACAGAAGGGGAAGAGCTGCCTGGCAGAAACACAGAGTTTGTCCCGGAGGGGACACTGTAGGCTCTGAGGACAAGTGAAGCTGTGTGGGAGCAGCCCTGTTGGAAGTGGGAGGGGTGATGTAACCCCAGCACAGTTTGAAAGAGAGCTGTTAGCAAAAGCCAGGGAAGAGCCCTGAGCTGGGATTGGCTGAGAGGCTTGGATAAAAGGGGGAGCAGTTTTTCCTGCGGGGGGGGG